AAAACCATAGAGGTAACTCTAAGACTAGAAGGTCCCGAAATAACGTGCTCAACTTTTTGGCTCAGCTCTGGTACTCTCTTCGGTCCCAAGCTAATCGATTCACCCCTCGAAACATAGGAAAAACCAATAACCCCTCATTTTATCTGTCAAACTTTCATAGCGAATCAAAACAAACATTGCGTAGTACTAGAATTTCGACTAGAATAGGGTACGTTAATCGTTTGCTTGGGACCAATAGGCTACTAAAGTGGTGAGCCAATTTAAAATCGTTAGTTTCGTATTGATTGTTGGTAAAACTTTAAATGTACTCAATCGAAATGATCTAAATCCAGATTTTTCAAAGAAAACAGTTTGTTTTGTGTAGAAATGTCAAATTTCAAGTGTCAAAGTCATGATTGACACATAGGTCGCAAGAAAGTTCGGAAGTCGGAAGTCAGACTTCCAAACTTTAATTTAGTGCTGGCGACACAATATTACGGAAATATCTTCTAATCTATTATCCACACATGAAATTATCACTTGATCAGCAAAAAGTTCGATGAAAAATTAAGGCGAAAATTGCGAAGCAAAGTGTAAATAAAAAACATGGCTTGCTGCTTTTTTTCGTTCGGTGATTGGTTCATTCACGAGAAGATGGAAGTAGATGTCACAGATGAAAACAGATAGCGCACAGTGATCTTGTTTTCCGTACTGAGCACCAATGCTATCGACGTCAGGGAGGCAGCTCCCACACCTGAACCCTCCCTATCGACCCATCAACTCATGAACCGGGACCAACAGCTTTACTTTGAAAGTAACGAGCCAGAAGGGCTACGTCCAAGACCCCCTAACCTCTGGTCAAACCACGGAGGTCGTCTGGGGTGGGCAACACACGCCTCTTTTGTCACTAGCTCACCTTATGATTTGAATTTCTCAGGGTCGGCCACCGGCCTCGGGAGGACTCAGAACAACCGATCACTTACCTTGCTGTGCCGAAAAACAACGAACGGACAATGAACCTTCATCTGGCTCTTTTGATCAAAAGGAATAGGGTATTAGAAAGAGTTTTTAAATTTGAATTGCGTATATTGAAGCCTAACTCACTAATTCACTGTAGCGCTGGGGGCCTCGTTGACAGTGGGAATTGGAAAGAGAGGTGACACGTACCTTTCTGCTTCGTGGTGGGTTCACCGAATGGTGCTGGCGGTCTCCAGGGGCGAAATAAACGACGGGGACGACAGTGGAGATTTGTGCCGTATCCTAGTGGTCTCTGCCACGTGGTTTCCACGTACAGTAGAGTCCAGAGTTGCGACCTATCACATTCACGATCGTCAAACAGCTGATGGTAGTAACGCTTTGTACATTCCTATCAATGTGCTCGTCGAAGCTCTCTCCATGACCATCCATCAATCTGACGAAAGAAGTAAAAAGCAACTGGTGAATGTCGTCTTCGGTTGTGATCCATCACCGATCAGGTCATTCCCGACAATCACGACACTCATCTGTGCTCGGTTTGAAGCAGTCGCTGCTTTGCTTGCGTATGTGATTGTGTTGGTGAGTGAAGGCCGGCGCACAATGCATACGTTTTCGGGTTTTTTGACAGATGCGCTAACTGTCAAAAAACCCGGAAACGTATTCATTGTGCGCCGGCCTTGAGCCCAACAGTTTCCGTTTAATGTTGCCTGCTTTGTTTGTAACTCACGCAGTCGCGCTTGCCGAGACGAACTGGGAATGCGTAGCATTGTTTTCATTTTCTTCTGTAGTTTCGCTGTTTCTCATGATCGTACTGCAGAAGTCTTCACTGTTTTCGTTGTGCTTTTCATCATCAGCAGCGAGTGAAAAGTTTTGCTTGTGAGCAGCGACCATTACTGGTGATTGTTGTTTGCCATGGCTCTACCCCTCACTGCGTGACAAAACGATCTGTAAGCGATAGTCGGATGATGCGAAGACGAGTGTCACGTGAGTGTCATGATATTTTGCATCACTGGTAGAGTCAGTCTAATCAGCCTTGCGGATCTGACCCACTGACATGCTGGGAAACAGCGTAGCGTGCAGCAGGACGGTAAAGTGAACCAAACGGTAACTCACTCGACTTCGTATCGTGTAGCATAGTACAAAATGTACCTCGTAATCGCGAACTTTTCTGTGTTCGGGCTATTGGTGCACTCACCGGATTACTCGTTAGATTAATCTAACCACCAACTAACTATGCTGCTCCTCGGAGCGTAACTACACCGTGTCGACCGAACTTGGTTATATGGTTATATTGCGAGGGTTTTTTTACTTCTGGTTTGTTTCCCAGTCCCGACTTGAGTGCCTGTCGTTTCCTCGGTCATCTGCTATCGAAGTCTTCCATCTTCCATCCTTTTCCTTTTCCCAGATCATCCTCTCCTTTTTCCACCCGGATCCAGTGTTGGTGTGGCGGTACTCCTTTACAGCGCTTACTCCAACAAAAGCTTTTATACCTAAGAGGAAGAGGTGTCAATTGGCTTCTTCCTCTTTTATTTCTATCTCTATCTTTATCTATCTCTATCTAACGCACATGAAATCGGCAATCAGGAGCTGGTTCACGTTTGACAGAAAAGTGGTTCATTTTCGCCCCAATATTGTCTTCTCTTAGTTTTATACCACTAACTTTTTGTGCGATGGCTCAATAGTAGAACTATTTTAAAATTAATGTTAACAATACTAGTTTTTAAAAATTATAAGGTATAAACTACTCGCAGTTTTCAATAAGAACCAGCAAAAGCTATTTAATAAGAAATGATGTCCACAAAATCTACAAATTCAGTCAGATGAACATCTATTGTTGCAATTTCAAGTGGATCGGTAACATCGGTGATCAGAGGCGCCGCCAACTGGGATTGAACCCAAGCCTGCTGGGGTGAGAGGAAATCACGCTTACCACTACACCACCGGCGCCGCTTTATAAATAAAGGCTGAGCGTGATTTATGGTTAAAAGGCGATAATCTGGATGTGTCGCCCCCCTCGGTTTGAAGCGAGAGGGTGATACATCTAAATCTTAATTCTAATTGCTTAAAAAATCTCACATTAGCGAATCAATCTTAGAAAAATCTTCTTTCATTTCTCGCATCTACTTGCATACATATCATCTTTTGCAGGAAATCTTCAGAACCGTCATCAATCTTTTTTATATATAGTCAGCGTGCATGCAGCTAACCACAGCAAAAAACAATCTTTCTTGCATCGTATATAGAGTCATCCCCCTCGATTCAAACAACATTCAAGGGATTGTGTACCAAAGCTACCCCGGTTAACGGTTGCGCAAAGTTTTCCATATGACAAACGAACAAATTTGTCCCACTCATCACGTCGTTCCGCCGCGGTCGGCCGATCCATGTCTACTCTAAAAAAGATACCTCCATACTTGGAATTACACGGCTATGAGAGTAACTCAGTAAATGAGTCGAATTCCACTCAAGATTACAAAAAAAGCGGAGTTACTCAGTGAGTGACTAAAATTTTTCACACTGATTCAATATGAGGAAAATCGACCAACATTTTACTCAGTCTAGGAGCATACTAATTCCGATTTTTTCTCATATTCAAAAAGTTTTCCCCTAAGAGGAAGAGGAGACAAAAGGGGAACAAATTTTCTGCCAAACGCGAACCAGGGCCTGATTGATCGGGTGAACGTAAAGAAAGCGAGAAATTTTTTCGACAGTCGACTGCGTTGCTCATAATGAAATAGTTTTTGCACGGACATTTCCGTGAGAGAAAAAGAACACGTCACAGACAAAAAGAAGCCAGTTGTCTCCTATTCTTCTTAGGTTTTTCCTGGAAAATCGAGGAAAATTTGACACTGATTAACCCCACTTTGTGCTATGTTGAGACAAATTCGACACAATTTTGAGTTACTCTCATTGACCGTGTGGTTAACATACGGAAAAAGTGCTATCGCGACAGTTCCCACGATGATGACGTTTTAAAAGCTTCACCTACTGCGGTCTCGAATGGCGAAGGTGGGCAAAATGATGTAGAGGATAAATAAATAATCATAGTTGACGGCAATTGCTGCGGAATTAGAGGAATTGTTATTTGCGGCACCATTCAGTGGAATGGTGAGCAGCAGCCCACCTGTGCCTAAAACGTGCAGGAGGTGAAGATACAGTATGGGTCCAATTGCTGCAAAGTGATTCCAATGGTTTTAATTTGCTAGTGTGCACAGCATTTAAAACCCTTAAATCCTACTTAAATGTTTCTCAAACTTTCCGGATATGTTCAGATAATCAGGTGTGTAACTATTAGAAATCGTGGACAGCTTTAAAGTCTGTTGCTAAAACTGGACCCTTACTGTCATAGCAATGTTAACCTAATTCAAGACGAACAATCTATGCAACACTATGAAAATTAACCACTCCATCTGATGGAGCAAACAGATGATGCTGTTAGTTTGCCGGGATGAGTCTTATCCAACCAGAAATAGACAATATATGTCATTGTTTGCATTTGACACATAGTTCATCTAGAATTATTTTACTGTGACAGTGTTATAGTACGTTCAGACTACAGAGTTATAACATGTTATAGCGCTATCTTGATGGTAGTTTCTGTGTTGCAATTAGTTGACAACCGTTATAACATGTTATAACTCTGCAGTCTGGACAGCGTTTTAATATTCATGGTATGTTGAGGCATTATTCAATTCAGTGAGTGGAATGCCGCTATCTTTAGGGTTTCTAATTGAATAATAACAACATAGTAAACTAGGGAAGCAGCTTGAGTGATAGCGACGACCACAATTTTGAGGAATTCTGCGCATCAACTGCAAGCTTCTATTGACGTGATAAACAGTAGGCTTTAATTGTTATAAATGTAACGTTAGATAAGATGGCTTTGAAGTAATATTGATCAGATAAGTCAATTCCGTCAACAATTCGATACCTATTCGATATTCTGCAACTGGCGATCGCTTGCTATCATCTTGCACACAAGTCCACTTGCATACAAACTCTTAGGTAAATTTCTTTCATTCTATTTGGAGAACAAAATTTGCTAATACGTTCATATATAAACATAAATACATCTTTCGCATATAATGATGGTTTTGAGCATATTTTCCACATAGATTACACAAAACACGACTTACTTTGACTGTACAAAGTAAATTTACCACTAGTCTTACAATACGTCCTATCTATACACTGTGACAAAAAAAAATGGAATAGTTATCTTGATCTTTCCAATAATCTCCAGCAAAACGAAAATTTCAAACCTTACAAGACTAAAAATACAAATCTCGATTCAACACATCTACACATGCACCTACAAACATACATACAAACACACAAATCTCGCAGACAAAACTCACCACACCCTTCCGCCTACTTCTTATCGGCGCCATTCGAGATGGCAATCGTAATCCGGTTGCCGTTGGAAACGGTCGTCGCTGACGATCCGCTCCGACCCACACCGTTCGCCACCGACGAACTCCGGCTCAGTTTGCCCCCTTGCTCCTGCTGACCGCACCCGATCTGGATCCTCTCGACCAGATCCTCCCTCGATTCGCTTCGCTGCCGCAAATTGGACAGTGACAGCGTCTTTTCCAGCTCGTACTTCAGACTTCCGATCGAATCGCCCCCGGCGGCACCGAAATCGATCCGTGTCGGCTTCTTTGGTTGATCCGGACCTCCGCCGCCGATGTACTCGCTGATGGTAACTGCAATCGGTTTCTGGGACTTTTTCATCGTCGGCGGACCGGTGTTCTGCGGGCAGAAGTAGTATGACGGCGGCCGCACAGCCGCCGGTTGCGGGTTGGTCATCTGGAAGGATTCGATCGATTCCAGCTCGGCGGTGTCCCCGTTGGCTTTGGCCAGCTCGGAGGCTGCCACCCGACCCATGGTTCCCTTGCTTTGGCTGCCGCTGCTGCCGGGTGCAGGTGAACCCTGGTTGATCGTTGTGGTTGTGGCCCCGGGTGGTCGAACCTCGATCGGTAACTTGTCTTTGGATGAAGATTTCTGTAAAAGAATAATTTCAGGTTAGAACCGCTGTCGTTGTTGTCAATCTTTAATTGCTTTCACCTTGAGTTCCACATTGTCGAATCCGTTCTTGAACATACGCTTGTGCACCGCCCTGAACTCGTCCATCAGTGCGGTGTGCCGTGCCGCGTCGCTCCCCGAGTTTGGTGGCCTGAATCGCTTTTCTTTTAACCTATTTTCCAGTTCGGTTAGCGCTGCGGCCGGCTCCGCAGCCGACGACATCAGTGTGCCCTTCTTCTCGGCTCTTCGCTTCAGTTCCTCTGAAATTGCATTTCCCAGCCCTCCGATGCCACCACCTGTTGACCCACAATCGATGCCACTGCTAGCACTGGAATCAGCCAAACTTACCGACGAAAGGCTTCTCTGCTGTTGCTGGCCACCGATGGCGCCCAATACCCCATATTTGGTGCTGTTGGTGGTCGAATAGCCACTGCTAAGGCCACTGCTCGGTGGAGGCGGTGGAGGAATTTTGTCCGCAAACAGCGGCGGTGGAGGCGGTATGTTTGAGGTTGACCCTGAAGAGACAGTGCTATTACCGCTGGACGACGAGGGTGGAGAACCTGCCGCGATCGAATTCGTTGACGCGCTTCGGTGAACTTCAACAATGACCGTTTTCGTTTCGCTTTGCTTAGAAACGAAACATATGTCCGCCAATTTGTTGCTACCGTCTTTGTCGTCCACCTCTTTTTTGCCACCATCCCCCGAAATCAGCGTACTATTGACCACGGTGCCGTTTTCGGAAAACTCTATAATCGTCGTATTGTTTCGCCGGTGGCCGTTCACAGCCGTCTTTGATGCCATCTTCTGCTGCCCCAGTCGCCGATCCTTCGAAATCGATTCCTCCCGCACGATGCTCAGCCGCTTCGCCGTTGAATCCCCCCAGCATGGACTCTGATCCCCGTTGACGCTGCTCGCACTGCTGTTGTAGCCACTCGATTCGCCGGGGAACATGTCAATGCCGGCTCCCGGCCGTACCACCAGCTCCAGCACTTGCGACGCCTTCATTATGCTAACCGCTTCGGCGAACGTAATGTCTGCAAACTCCCGCCCATTGCACGACAAAATCTGATCTCCCGGTCGTAGGCCCGCCTCCCGGGCCACTCCGCCCTCCTTGGTGAACTGCACGAAGATGCCCGGCTTCCAGTCCGGGCCCTTGCAGATTCCGCAGCCCAGCTTGGTGCGAGGAGCCACCGAGAGGATCACCTTCAGATCCCGCCCACCCGGAAGTTCCTCTAGCGTTCCGGAACTGCCGGTACTGGTACTGCTGTTGCTACTGCTGCAGCTGGTTCGTTCCAGCTCGGCCCGGTGCTGGTGCTTTTTGGTGCTGTTGCCGTTGGTCGTTGGGTGGACGCTGCTCGGGGTGGGTCCAGAGTTGGTGGTGACGGAAACCACGTGCCAGGTTAGCGGATCCCCGGAGCGCCTGTTGGGGTGGGAATGAAGGAATGGGAGTTATTAGTTACCATGTCACGAAGTTCGTATTTTTTTAGGTGTATGTAAAGTTTTTTTTAAAGACTTCTTAAGTTGCCAAAATTATTCAAATTATTGTTAAGGGAATTTTTGATTCTTGAATTCTTGGATTCTAGGATACTTGGATTCACCAAAACTGGGATTCTGGGAATCTCTTATTCTCAGGGATTCTTGGATTCTTAAATTATTAATCGATTATTCGATTCTTCGATTCTTGGATACTTGGATTCTAGGATTCTCGGATTCTTATATTCTTGAATTCTTGGAGTGTCAGATTCTTGGATTCTCAGTTAATCAGATTGGTGGATTCTCGAAATCTCTGATTAGTGGATTCTGGTATTTTTGGATTTTGTTTTCTCTGATTTCTGGATTCCTGAAATCTTAGATTCTCGGATTCCTGGAATCTTAGATTCTGGGATTCTTGGATTCTGCAATTCTCAAGGATTCTTAGATACATTGATTCTAAAATTCTTGGAAGTCAAGACTTCAATATTCTTTGATTCTTGGATTAATCGATTTATGGATTCATGGATTTCTAGATTTTTGTATTCTTGGATTGTTGGATTCTTGGATGCTCGAAATCTTAGATTTTTTAATTTTTGGATTATCTGATTTTTGGATTTGTGGATTCTTAGATCTTAGATTATTGGATTCACCAGATCATTGATTCTTGGATTTTCTAATTCTCACCGATTCTTTGATTCACGGATTCTTAAATTTATTGATTCTTGGATTAATCCATTCTTGGATTCTTACATTCCTGGATTCCTGAATTCTTGGATTCTTTGATTCTTGAGTTCTTGTATTATTGGAGTTTCAGATATGGGGATTCTCAGATTCTTGTATTTTCGAAATCTTTGATTTGTGACTCCTCGAATTCTCAGATTATTTTTTTTATTTTTTGTCCTCTGATTCTTGAATTATGGGTTTCTTTGATTCTGGGATTCTTGAAATCATTGATGTTTTTATTTTCAAATGCTTGGATTCTAGGATACTTGGATTTACCAAATCTCGGGTACATGAATTCTCTAATTCTCATGGATTCTTGAATTCTTAGAATCTTTGATTCTTGGATTAACTAATTCTTGAATTCCTGCATTTTAAGATTCTAGGATTCTTAAATTATTTGATTTTTGGATTAGTCGATTCTTCGATTTTTTGATTCTTGGATACTTGGATTCTAAGATTCTTGGATTCCTATATTCCTGAATTCTTGGAGTGTCAGATTCTTGGATTCTCAGATAATCAGCTTGGTCGATTCTCGAAATCTCTTATTAGTGGATTCTAGTATTTCTAGATTTTGTTTTCTCTGATTTCTGGATTCTTGAAATCTTAGATTCTCGGATTTCTGGAATCTTAGATTCTGGGATTCTTGGATTCTGCAATTCTCAAGGATTCTTAGATACATTGATCCTAAAATTCTTGGAATTTAAGGCTTCCAAATTCTTTGATTCTTGGATTAATCGATGTATGGATTCATGGATTTCTAGATTTTTGGATTCATGGATTGTTGGATTCTTGAATAATTGGAGTCCTAGATTCTTGAATTTTTTAATTTTTAGATTCATGGATTCTCTGATTATTGGATTCTTGGATCCTCGAATTCTTAGATTTTTTGATTTTTGGATTATTTGATTTTTGGATTTGTGGATTCTTTGAATCTTAAATGATTCTCGGATTTTCTAATTCTCACGGATTCTTTGATTCACGGATTCTTAAATTCATTGATTCTTGGATTAATCCATTCTTGGATTCCTGGATTCTTGGATTCATGGATTCTTGGATTCTTGAGTTCTTGTATTTTTGAAGTCTCAGATTTGGGGATTCTCAGATTCTTAGATTCTCAAAATCTATAATTTGTGACTCCTCGAATTCTCAGATTTATTTATTATTGGTCCTCTGATTCTTGAGTTCTTGGTTTCTAAGATTCTGGGATTCTTGAAATCATTGATATTTTTATTCCCAAATCCTTGGATTCTAGGATACTTAGATTAACCAAATATTGGATTCATGGATTCTCTAATTCTCATGGATTCTTGAATTCTTGAATTCTTAAAATCTTTGATTCTTGGATTAACCAATTCATGAATTCCTGGATTTTAAGATTCTACGATTCTTCAATTATTAGATTCTTGGATTAATCGATTCTTCGATTCTTCGATTCTTGGATACTTTGATTCTAGGATTCTCGGATTCTTATATTCTGGAATTTTTGGAGTGTCAGATTCTTGGATTCTCAGATCATCAGATTGGTGGATTCTCGAAATCTCTGATTTAATCCATTTCTACTAATAGTGGATTCTAGTATTTTTGGATTTTGTTTTCTCTGATTTCTGGATTCCTGAAATCTTAGATTCTCGGATTCCTGGAATCTTAGATTCTGGGATTCTTGGATTCTGCAATTCTTAAAGACTCTTAGATTCTTTGATTCTAAAATTCTTGGATTCTTGGAGTCTTAAATTCTTTTTTTTTATTATTATAGTCACTTTAACGCTCTTGGGTCATTCGTGACTTATCTGGGGGTGAGATTTGAACTTGTGACTTTGGCGTGAGAGGTATGGATTTAAACCACTACGTCGGGGTCGCCCCCTCTCTTAAATTCTTTAATTTTTTGATTAATCGATTTATGGATTCATGGATTCCAAGATTTTTGGATTCTAGGATTGTTCGATTCTTGAGTACTTGAAGTCCTAGATTCTTGAATTTTCTGATTCTTAGGTCCATGGATTCTTGATTTTTGATTATTTGATTTTTGGATTTATGGATTTTTGACTCTTAGATTATTGGATTCTTGGATTTACCAAATCATTGATTCTCGGATTTTCTAATTCTCACGGATTCTTGGATTCACGGATTCTTAAATTAATTGATTCTTGGATTAATCCATTCTTGGATTCTTGGATTTTAGAATTCTTGGATTCTTGGATTCTTGTGTTTTTGTATTTTTCGATTTTCAGATTTGGAGATTATCAGATTCTTGGATTCTCGAAATCTCTGATTTTTGACTCCTAGAATTCTCAGATTTTTTTTTTAAATTTTTAGGCTCTGGAATTCTTGAAATCATTGATGTTTTTTCACAAATGCTTGGATTCTAGGATGCTTGAATTTACCAAATCTTGGATTCATGGATTCTCTTATTCTCATGGATTCTTGAATTCTTAAAATCTTTGATTCTTGGATTAACCAATTCTTGAATTCCTGGATTTTAATATTCTAGGATTCTTGGATTTTTTATTATTGAATTCTTTGAGTCTCGGATTCTTGGATTCTCAGATCTGAGTTAGATGATTGCGAAGGAATTCCAAAGTAAACTCCAATTCCGATATCAGTATTAGACAAAAATTAATATTCCATAAAAACTTACTCTTTCACCGGCAGTATTCCAACGCTGCGAACCTTCAGCACAAGCCTCTCCTGGCAGGACACGAACTGGGCCAGCTCCCGGTGCACTGCGTCATCCACGTGGTAACCGTTGACTCGAATTATCTGATCGCCCACCTAATTGACAAAGAAAACACAAATTCGATTTCAGCACAACAATGTCTGCTTCCGCGTCTCTAATTGTTCAAATGCAGCTAGCATGCAACACGCAACGCACGCTTTCGGCTTTGGTCGCAATCCGTCAAACCCCCTGCGGGCTCAATTAAAACCCGTATCAAAGCGACCCGGAAATTGGCTTCCACTCGTTCGACCCACCGCAAACTTACCCTTAATCCCTGCCGGTCGGCCTCGCTGTCCTTCTCGACGGCCGAAACGAAGAACCCCGTCCCGTACTCCAGCCCTCCGCGGATCGAGAATCCAAAGTTGCCGCCCCCGTTGAAGTGCCCATGGGGATAGCTCTGCGGTCGAGCCAACCGCACAATGCGCACCCTCTGACCGCTGCCACCACCACCACCGTCAATCGTTCCCATGCGTTCCTTGACTTCGGCCGCCGACAGGTTCCCTGCGATCTTGGTCGTCCGGGTGAGGGTGTTGTGATGATAGCCCGCCAGCGAAGTCGCAGGTCCCGGTCGAAAAGTTCCCATACTGGTGCTGCCGCAGCCACCGTTGTTTCTCGCATTGCAATAATCGGCCATGACGGGTTGCGGTGCTACTGGGACTCACCGGTCTGAAACTATACGGTGGAAAAGAGAAGAAAAGGAACATGTTGAGAGTTGTGTGATTTTCGGGGCTCAGTAGGTGGTGTAAATTGCACTGACAGCAGGGTAAAATTTATTCAGTAATAAGTCATTTTCAAATATCTTTCACATAATTTCATCCAAACTCGCATCCACATCCGCCAGTGATAACGTGGCGGCATAATTTGTCCCCTCCGGATTGGAACGAAACGAAACGATCACACCACACGAAGCGATTGGATAACAAACTTGATCGACAACAAGTACCGAGCGGTTCATATCTAGTAGGCATCGGTTCCAACTGACGACGACGACGAAGACGAGGTAATCAATCACGATTCGAAACCAAGTCGGCGATGCCCTCGGGGTGGAAGTTACGCGGCATGGCTTACTAGTTGCACTAGGGTTTTTTTTTGGTTGTTGTTGTTGTGTGACTCGCACGCATTCCTCACTCATATTCGGTGGGCTGTCATATTTTCGCCTTGGCAGCGGCTGCAGGTAGTGATTATGACATGTAGCTATTTAAGCGAGAAGCGTGATTTTTCCCACGCGGTCGCCCGTCGCGCATCTTCGCGTAAAGGTGTATTCAGATCTAAGCGTACATTAGCGGAGCGGAGCAAAATTTGCGTTGGAATGAGAGAGACAACTAGTACTTTTCTCCCTCTCGTACCTTCGCAAAATCTCTCTCCGCGCGTGAAATATCGCTTAGATCTGAATACACCTTAATCGCGACGGAATTAGGGCTCCATTGTGTGGCTCAACAGCAGATTGTGCCGCCGCCGTCGGGCGTCGTTGTTGTTGTCGATCGACAGACCGAGAGCTGTGATTCGACCGACTGAGCTAATCGTTTTCAGAAGGCACACGCACAGACAGGTGTCTCCATGGGCGTTTTAGTGTGTTAGGACGGGTAGATCGAGCGATGACGACAGTTTGCAAGACGACGATGAGACGGTTATGATTGCACTCGGATGCTCGCCTCCGGTTTCTTCCGTCTCTTTGTGTTCGGATACAGCTACATTAGCGATTGTGTAATAATTATTCTAGGGAGGTTAATGGTGATTTCGAATCATTCAGATTAGATCAGTTGGAGCATTTTGATTTGAATTTTAATAGCCTGAATAATTACTTCGTGGGATAGCAGTTGGCATTCCAAACATAAAGGCGAAACGCACCGCACGTACGTCCGAGTCGATTTACGCACGTCAACTTAACACAAATCGTAAATGTAATCGCGTTGAACGTGAATCAACGGCGTTTAACTTTATATCAACATCATTATCGGATTACACGTGACGCAATTGCAATTAGGTGTGCTAATTAGTCAGGAAATCCTCACGAGAGGTAGTTTATTTATTGTAGCGCTTTGCCACAAAGGATCGTAGCCATTGTCTTAGGGTATAAACTATTTAGCTACAAATCTACACAGTAAACAAGCAGCAACATTGTAAACGATAGCAAACGCACGTAGAGAGATAAATAGGGTGCGAAATAAGTAGTTGTAACCAATGCGTTTTACCCCTAGACCTCTCATAACAATAAGCCTAATTGAGCAGCTTTATAACTTGTGTAGTCTTCAAAACAACAAGTTTGAGCAATAATTGGCCGTATAAACCCATTCCTCAATAAATCTTCTGTAACAGGATAAGTTAATCAGTAAATGATATGAAGACTAATAGCGAGTTCGGTTATTATTCAATTCCGGATCGGGTATCAAGATTGGGTCTGCTTGATTTCTGGTAAACGTCAGATTGCTCGTTTGTTTTTTGAAACCTAGCTCAGGTTGAGGATCGCACTGACAGAAAGATCGATTTCTATTCTGGTGGAAGCAACAGAATTTCGTGAAATATAATCGGTATTGAACAAGGTAGTGAATTAACATTACCACTGCACTGACGTACTGTTCGATTGGGTAGTTTTTCATCATTAATTTGAATTTAAAGTCAGAAATATATAGGAGTTTTAATTATTATAGGCATGGTACGACCCGGTTCGAAATAAGATTGAAGTGTCCAATTGTAGAGTACCTCAGTCAGGACAAGGGACATCCACACATGGTCAATCTGGTGCTCAAGATGGATATCTACAGTACCAGCTAGGACAGCACCGTAAAAAGGAAGGAAAGGTTTGTTAGATGAAAAAAAAATTCAAAGAAAATATCAATGTTAAATTTATGTTTAGATCCTTATTTGTAAACATATTGATAGTAATTAACAAAAAAATTATGTTTTATTTATAAGAATGCCTTGTTTAAAAACAATTACACCAAAAATTTTCCCAAGTATTTTTACCTAATATTCACTCTTTATGCAACAGATACATTTTACTCAAAACGATGTCTTTGCAAAATACTTAAAATTAGATACTTGCAAGGGATAATCAACTCTGCACACTGTGCCGAAATACAGCATGGCACACTATTCGGTACGCTAGGGCACAAACCATATTATATGAGACGGCATCACTGCCGAGTGTTGACGTTTTGCCAATCGGCGCTAAGGTTGACTAGTTTGTTTACTCCATTGGGCGATGTCAACGATGTCCATAGTCTCAGTACTTCCTGTACCGCTGGGGTATGTCGATACGTAATTTCAAATATTCCATCCGATCTGGACTTATGTACGGTTGCCTTAACGTAATAGTATAGGAATTATAGGAACAGATCAATGCAATTACGTTCCATTCCGTGTGTCCGACATAAATAACATACCCATCATCAACGATCTAGTCATTTTCCAGATGCATTTCTGTAATCATCCTTGTGTTGAACTAGTTTGTATCACGAGGCTCCGATGCGTTGGGTGGCCTACCGATCAGTTCTTGTAATACCAGTAAGGCTTTACTCAATCTCTAGCATTTGATTCTCTCATGACGACACTAAGCAACTTGAAACTTGTTCGGCAAGAGCCCATGGGCATGCTGATGAGCAACAACAACCACAGGATCCTGCCTGCAGCAGAACTACAAAGGCGAAGCTTATCTGGATCACAAACCATTCCCGAAGTATGACTGATCGGAAGTGGGGCGGATATTTGATGGTTTTCATCGGCGGTACATTGGCCATTGGTTTGCAATGGTAGTACAATGCGGAAGGCACCACACTACATAAGATCGTGAACTTGGTAGCCTTGAACGTATGCAATTGGGTGGTGGCAGGAGAAATCATAATCAGCCACACGATAGGCTTGGGTGATGCCTTCGAGGTCACGTACTTCTGAGCCGATCAGATGAACTGGTCTCTCTTCCACTGCCGGCTCCGCTCACGTTCAAATAAGAATGAAACTTAAGGTGAATCGCTGTGACACCCTGACTCTCGGAACCACTTCGAAACTTTATGTGCACAAATATCAGTTTCTACGACACGTGCAACATTCAAATTGTTACTGCACGTTTGTTGCAGCAAACATTAAATAGCAATTTCAAATGAAATGGGGTAGTGATTTTCGAGATTTGTGTAATTGAAAATTTGAAGTGGAAGTGCATGTATAGCCTACGTAGTGGTCATTTGTTGACTCAACAAGGAATCACCTTAATGTTTGCCTTAAATCATCAAATAAATTAAAAATGTATACACAATCAAAAGTCAGTTTAACTTCAGGGTTACCAAACATATGGGTCATTGACACCTTGATTGGTACACTTCGGCCTACTTCGGCACGTTTGGCGCAGCGTTTGGCACAGATATCAGCACTGCAAAATCTCCCGACACATAATAGGGTGTGCAGAGTTGAATACCCCTTGGATACTTGGCAAAGAACTCAATTTTATCTAGTTGCACTTCGGTGTCAAGATGAGTACAAAAGACTTAATTTTGAGTTGTTTCGTATTTCCGTGTAGCAATTTCGAGCTAATTTGCTGTCAAATTCGAGTCATTTGCTGATTGGTCGATTTGACAGTGGCAATCGTAGCAACATGAGGATAAAATAAAGATAACACAGGCAGTGATGCCGAAATCAACGAAGTGTCATAAATTTTAACGGTGTTATTATTTACGAATGAAGTCAATTGCATAACGATACTTATTCCTTTTCGTTTTCGGTTGTATTAATGCTCTAACAGCAACAATGAAATGCAAGGCGCTAAACTGCGGTAGGAATTCACAGCCAAATTCAGGACTACAGTTCTTCAAATTTTCAAAAGATAAGTTCGTTCGATTAAATTGGATTCGATTTTGCGAAGCAAGTGAGGAAGAAATTCAGATATTTGAAGTTAAATGAAGTTAAAGAATATGCAGTGTAAGGAGGATAAATCATCACCAGCTGGTTTCGTTTTTAAAACTCATCAGCTGGAGCGAAAATAAACATTAGATAACAAATCCATGTTTGGCATTGATTTGGTATTGTAATTGAATACAACACCAAATCAATACCAAACATGGTAAGATTTTGTTTTATTTATTTTTTTCGTAAGATATTTATCCTTATATCTGAATTAATTTATTCATCAATAAACAATATCTGGAGAGTTTCTATTCATCCCTCTCCATAAAATATGGATCCTTTACTAGTTCTGCAAGATAATAATGTGAATATTCTTGGTTTGCCGTTCTATCCATTCCACCAACATTGTAATATTTTTTTGAACAAACGTAATTCCAGAAGTGACGTCTTACCAGGTAACTAAACGCAATAGATATTGTAGGATTATTATAACAAATCCTAATTGATTTCGACTGTACTTTTTGACGTAGGACTACATCTGTAATTTCAAATGGGGATACAATTTGTGAAAACCGAAAATGGAACATGTAACGAAGTTATGAAAGATTTTGAACGTTAATAACTCAGCTGCCCCTGGACCAATTTCAATAATTTTATCACCAATTGATCAGGAATATTTTCACGTATCAAAATTCTACTGTTGATTTTCAACTAGAAAATATTGAAAAAGTGGTGAATGTCAAGCATTGTCCAAAAGCGTCGAAATAACTAACAAATTCACCAACTACGTACATGCATATGCTGCTTTCTAGACGTTTGTATGTCGATGTAGC